CAAACCAGTAATGGCTACATTTACAGTCTTAAGATTTATTGGTCAAGGTGCTACCCAACACACAGCCTCAGATCCACAATGATTTGGCCAGGCAGGTTCTCCCATCCAGATGGCAAGATATTGGCTGAGCATCTTAGCATAAAGCCCTTTTTCTTTCCTCTTCCTTTGACCAATTCTTACCCCAACGACTCATCTTCTGGTTACCAGGTTACTTCTTGTCTCTAGCTCTTGACCTCCTTTTTACCACTGAGTTCTTACATTTGTAATTCATCTATCTTTTTGCTTGGTTTGTTGGTTCCACAACAATTTCTATCGAACACCTTTTGTCTGCCTCAGAGTTTATATCTAATTGTGTCTACTTTAGTTGCTTCCACCTAGTCATCTAGTGCCCCTCCAAAGATGAGCGACTTACATAGTCACACAAGGCTCATACACAGAAGGGCCCTGTATTTGACTTAATGCTCTGCTGTTGCCTTGTTAAAATTCTTAACAACTTTATCTTTGAAATTGTGTTTTGTAAGTGAAGTCTGATGGGACGAGGGAGCATAAACATGAGCAAAAGAGGTAGGCACAGCATTCTTTGCAGCCCTGTTTGCAGTTAGCAATCAAGACGCCCAATGAGCACAGAATTCCAATGGATTCACAATGCTTGACAGTTAAGGATCCAACTCGAGTACACGGTAAGAGTTTTAGCTCTGTATGCACGCAGAGATGTTGACGGCCCCAAGAAACGAGGCTCTCCATTCAATCCAGAAATTGCTTCAAATGTAGAAGAGGAAGCAATGGTGTTGTCATAGCCTTTCCTACTTATGTCACTTCCCTGTATTGGCCAACCACTCAGGCCGAAAATGATGACATAGGAAGAAAGAGTTCCTTTTCCTTTTCTTACTCATCAGAAAGCCAAGCCTGATAGAAAGTGTGTACATAAAGTATGCATATAAAGAAGTGAAATAAAAAGAGCTGAGTTTGTTTTGTTAGCATTTCCACTGTTTTAATAAGAATAATAAGCATCTATAAACTACAAAATGTGAAACGTGTAATTTATATGATTCCATATACAACTTAAGTGCTCTTGTATATCCATTTAAAAGTGGCACCGCACAGTATAAGGATGAGCATTAAACTGCACACCAATTATTTAAATTTTTAATGTTCTTATATTGACATTAAATAGCAAATAAGAACACCACGTCAAGTCAAGGGAGAGAGACGGCATGAGAGGAAGAAAAATGCTTTACCTTTTAAGAACTTTAATGACATTTCTCCCCTGACTTTTGAACAGGGAGCTCCACAGTTCCGGTCTGCACTGGGCCCTACAAATTATGTGCCTGGCCCTGGACCCATGGCTTTAAGTCATGTCCATAAGCACTGATAAAACTGGTTTCCATCCAAGGCCTTTTCCCAGTGTGGCTTCTCTAGACCCTTTTCTGGGCTCCAGTTGGGACCAATGGAGATTATTTTCCCCTTTGGTACAATTAAAAAAAAAAAAATCTCCCAAACGTAGCTCTAAATGGATGGGGAAATGGAGGTAAAATGACATGGTAGGAGCTTACCAAAAGTCAAAGTGTATGCCGTATGCTGCGGACAGGGGCCTGGGCTGACTCCCATCTTGTCTTTAAATCCAATGCCGGGCCTGTCTGCACCGATCACCACTGGTATTTCAGTCTCAAACATCATTTGGAAAATACCAGCAAAGTCATTATGGGCTGCAACCTTTTGATCACACCCCAGCGGAGGCCACCACAGCCCTGCGGGAACAGCTGTAGAAGCAAAGGCTCTGCCCTTCAAGAGGTTCTGCACAGGACATTCCACGGCCCCGGGGAGTCCTGTTTGGTTGAAGGTCAAGGGGAGTTGATCAACAGGCCAATACATGCTTCCTTTGCAGCCCTTGTAAGGATTAGATTCCTGTACTGCCCCAGGCAAGTGAGGAAGTCTTTTATAACCATTGTATCAAAGACATTAGGATTCTTAAGGAACAAGATGCTTCCCATTTCTTTCCTTGAATTTCTTAGAGAATAGAATAACCATAACCAAGTCCTGGCATCTTGTACCACTGGCCAGATCCCTACTAATCAGAAGAAATGCCAATACAGAACAGACTACAACTATGAGCAGACTGCCTGCACACCCTTTGTGTGGTCCCTTGATGTAATCCAAATGGATTTTTTCCCAGCTGCCCCCTTGTTATTATTGTCTTGGAGCCTTGCATGCAGAGTACAAGAATCTGTTGAACCTAGTTTCCTCCAGAAGCTTCACAACAGTCTTTTGTTTATTGCTTTGGTACCCTTAGCAACACAGCTGATACCTGCAGGTACTTCTGGGCTAACCCAAATGCCTTCTAACCCCCAAACCTCTCCCTCTCTGCACAGCTGTGTGGAGGAGGATGGATCCTTGAGAGAACACCTTCAGACTGCTCCCGCCTAGAGCCTGCTGGGCTTCTCAGCTAGCACTGCAGCCCCAATGGAAAAGCCAGTTACCTTTTTGCCAGAACAAACTTGCAGTAGCTGTCTGCTTCCTTCTGGCACACGAGAGGGAAGGACATCTTACAGGCCACAATGCACTGTTCTCACTCTAACAAGAACAACAGCGACCATCGTTCCTTCCCTTTCCATTAAATAAGAACTGTAAATGCATGTTTAAAAAAAATGTATGTCACCCTTTAAAATAATCTGCATGAAGATATTTTAATGAGATGTAAAATGCTTCGGCATATGGTAAGTGGAAATAAAAGCCGGATACCGGAGGTCCTTTGTTTATAAACAGTTTACATTTATGTATAGGAAAAAAAAAATAGAGGAAGGAACTAACTATATCACAATGGATTCCTTTAGGTGGTGGGGTTCAAGGGATTCTTCTATTTTCTTCCTTAACCTTTTGGTATTTTCTAAAAGACAATACGTTTTGTAGGTGTGCATTACTTTCTATAATCCCACAAGAAAGAACGTGTTTCTGTTTGCTGGGATCTCTGCAATAGTAATAACTGACTTGATGCACTGTCCAAAGGAAGCCATCAGCCTTCTACTCCTCCAGGTGACTTCTGGGTGGGTCCTTTCTCCCAGTTGAATTTTCTGTGCAGGATACCTGTTTTGGCTTTGACAGGACTGCTCCTTTATGTGAAACTTGTTTGCATTTGGAAACAGCCCTGTCAGAACTTTGAATCAGGATACTGTATTTCTTTCTCCTGTCTACCAGGGCTGAGAATTTTCCGAGTGTGAGGGTTCCAGAGTCTATCTGAGACTGGACTCCAGGGGGAGAGAGTCTAGACTAGAGGACGCGGGTTTTGTCTAGCAGGGTGTGATGACAAGAACGTAGGTTTGGAATGGCATGGCTCTAGAGCTGCAGAGGTCTTTTTTCTGTGCCAAATATGATGCTCATATTTCTTTTATTGAGTTGCTTTAAGGATTTAAAAAGACAATGTATGTAGAGGGGGCTTAGCAGAGTGCACACAAGTTATTAGTGGTAAGAACCGGAGAAGGCAGCAGAGTGGACAGCTCTTCCACTTCCACCCCTACCCACAACACGCCAAAGTTTTCCAAAGTGTAGGTGGCATAGGGGTAGAAGGGAGCAGCTGTCCAGATCTTGCCCTGACTGGGCTGGCCTGACCAAGGACAGACACACCTTTGGTGTCGCCATGGAAACATAACCACCACTTCTGGGCTGGGCGATCGGCAGTGCTAGCCACAGAACAGCAGCCGAAAGTATGGGGTGAGGGGCAACCTCAGAATGTCCACGGGTAATGCTAAGCATGGCTCCATTACCACTCTGAAATCACCGCATTAGTGATCCAAATTGCCTCTTGCTCCACTCGCAGCCACTCTGCCCTTTAACTATTCATCAGGCGGCAAGAAGCATGCCAGAGACTTACAGGAAATAAAGGGAATCGTGCTGGACCTTGCGAGGGATTGACATAGCCCATCTTTGCTATCCTGCTACTTCCTCTGCTGCAGTTTTTTCAGGCTTTTTTGTTTGTTTTGTTTTTACCAGAACTGCTATCAGCACCACCATCTCTACAACTGCTGCTGCTATTACTATTAATTTTTGTAAACTACGATTTTTCAAAGCCCCTGGGCCTTTGCCTGATGAAAAGAGTGGGCATGGCATTACGGGAAGGCAGGCTGGCACTAGAAACCTCAAAGGGAACAGCAGGTCTGCACTCAGGAACAGAGCAGAATGATCAATATATATATTTTTCATGCCCCAACTGCCTGGACTCTAGCCACATCCCCAGCCACACCTAGTCCTTCTCCCAACCCTACGCAGCTCCAATGTCTGCAGCTGAGTTAGGCGATGTCAAGGGTTAATGGACTTTTGTTTGGTTGGTCAGAGGAGCTGGACCATGCCCAAATCCCACCAAACCGGGTGGGAGGAAGAGGAGAGAATGCGTCTAACATCGAAGGCCATTGCCTCTGTCAGGATCTCCCACCTTCTCAGAGAATACCCCCCCCCCCCCCCCCCCCCCCCCCCCCCCCCCCCCCCCCCCTCGCCCAAGGACCCAGTCTCTTCCTTTTGCAGAGACTTTAAATTTCCCTGTGCCAAAGTTACATGTTCAGGTCACGTTTGACTTTGGCCCACAATCCCCAAAGTGAACTAACTGGGGGGATGCCTACCTCCCCTTCTCATCCCAGCAGAGGGGCTCCTTCTCTCTGCGCACCTAGCAGCCAGCTGGTGAGAGGACCAACAACACTACACGGAGCCAGGAGGAGGGAGGGAGAGAGGGAGGAGAGTGAGGAGGTAGCACAGCCCCAGCCCAACCTCCAAGGAGGCTCCCTTTGAGATCGCCCTCTTCACCTGGCAACCGGGCCCCGGCAGGGCTCCGGGGAGGAGAAAAGTGGCATTTTGGAATCCATTTTGCTCAAGACGTTGAAGGCATCTTGGCAAACTTCCCTTTGCTACTTACTGCCTTTGCTACCGGGGCCAAGTGAACTCGGGGCAGGGCCTCACCCCTAAGGGATGCGGTTATCTGGGGAGGAGAGGAGGGCCGACTCCGGCGCCAGTGGCACCTGCCAGGGAGAGAGAGCAGTGGCTGGGCACACACAGCGTGGGTGCGGGTGGCCCACCCTGGCGCTGCTCCCCGCATTGGACCCACGTCCACGGGGGAGTGATAGTAGCAGCAGCCGCCTCCAGGCCAGCTGGGATCCCTTCTGTCTCTGTCCGGTTATTTATAGGCGCGGTTTACGGTGGCTGCGGGGGAGGGGGGGCGCAGACGCGGGATGACAATGAGCTTTGGAAGGTATAACGCGAAAAGTCACACTTTTCCCCAAAGCGCTCCCCCTCCCACGTCCTTCCTCCCAGAGCAGTGCGGTCCCGGCGGGGGAGTGCGCATCGCGGGGCGCCGCCGCGGTCCGCTGGACCCCAGGCCCGGGCCGCGCAATGGGGGCCCCCCGCGGCTGGCGGGAGCCCCTGAGGCCCCGAGGCCCGGAGGGAGGCCGGGAGGAGGGGCCGGGGGCACAGCGGCTCACCTGCCAGGCTGTTGTAGCAGTCGATCTCGATGGCCTCCACCGTCCGGCTCTGCTCCTCCGAGAGGCGGCTCGGGTGCGGGGCCCCGGCCGGAGAGGCCGCGCGCGAGTCCCGCTCCCCGGGGGCGGGCAGCAGCCCCTTGAGCTCCAGCAGCGCCCGGTGGTACTTGCCGATGGCTTCGCGGAATTTCTTGTCCTTGTAGCACTGCGAGCCTTGGCTCTTGAACTCGTGCGCGCGCCGGATGGACTCGGCGGGCTCGGCCGCCGCCCCAGCCTGGCCCCGCGCCGGAGCCCCGCCGCCGCCGCAGCCGCCGCCCGGGGCGCACAGCGGCGGTGGCGGCCGCTGCCCCTCGCCGGCCCCCGGCGGGCTCGGGTTCCCTTTGGTCCCGGCCGCCGAGCCCTTCCACTCCATCCGGCCGCCACCCGGCACCCCGCGCGCCGCGATCCGCCGCCGCCGCGCCCTCCGGTTTACAGGCGGCGGGCGCCGGCCCCGCGTCTGGCGAGCTCGGCCGCGGCCTGGACACCCCGCGGCGGCCAGTCGTCCCGCACTCCCATTCTCCTCGTCAGCTGCGGGAAGCTGTGCTCTCCACCTCCTCCTCCTCCTCCTCCTCCTCCTCCTCCTCCTCCTCCTCCTCCTCCTCCTCCTCCTCCTCCCACTCCTCCTCAGATTGCCTTCCCCTCCCCCCTCCCTCCCTCCCCTCGCCTCCCTCCCCGGCGCGCTGGCTTCAGCCCGCCTCCCTCCCGCAGCCTGCGGGGGTGAGGACCCGGCCCCGCGCCTCTGGGGCTAGCGTTGCGGGGGGCTGCGGGCCTGACTGGGGTGGCGGGGACTGTCGCTGACCCGGAAGGAGCTTGGCTCGCCTGAAAGAGGGGGGATTGGTGACAAAGACGGGCCCCTTATTTCCCATTCAATCCAGTCCTCTGAGACGCGCCTAGTCTGAAAGGCAGGACAGGGGGAAGGGGCGTGTGTGTGTGTGTGTGTGTGTGTGTGTGTAGGTGTGCGTGTAGGCGTGTGTGTGTAAGTGTATGTGTAGGTGTGCATGTTTGTTTTTGTGTGTGTGTGTGTAGATGTGTGTGTGTAGGTGTGTGCGTGTGCGTGTGTGTGTGTGTGTGTGTGTGTGTAGGTGTGCAGGGAAGGGGCACGCCAGCGACGAAACGCGTGCAGACTCACCCTCGATAGATTTCTTAGAAACTAAAAACAGAGGTGCAGCGAGGAGCAAGGGGCGTAGGCATGAGCCGAGCCGTAGCTGTTCTTTTCAGCGAGGCAGTGGCATCGTAAGGGGCAGGGCCTTTTCTGTGCAGATCCGGGCTGTGGCCGAGGTGTGTCTCCGCGTGTGGCGCCGGAGCGCCCGGGCACAGCGCACGCCAGCGCGGGGCGTGTACCCAGCCGCCGGGTGGGGTGCCGGTGCCCACGCCGCGGTGTGCAGGCCGCTGCGCCGCGGGAGTCACGGACACCGAGATGGAAACACCTGTTCCTGCCGGTCAGCAGGCTGGGCGCGCAAACCTCTGGTTTCCGCGTCCAGCACAGTGGCGCGCCCCGCCGCGGGAGGCCGTTTCTTACTTCTTCATCCTTAGGTCAGCCTCCAGGGAGGGCTGGCTGCGGGGATTTTGTGGAGACCCAGCGGCCGAGGGAGACAGGCAAGTGGCTGCCCTGCTCTCAAGTTAACTCCCAGTCTCCCGGGGCAGGGGGACGCCGCCCACCCTTAGAGTCACTCTTCCAGATACAGGGGTCACTCTTCCCTGGGTAAAGACTACCAGGGGAGGACAGACAGTGCCGCGGAGCGCGGAGGAGGCCAGAGAGGTGGCTCTTTAAGCAGACTTTATGGAGGGATGGCATTGGAGGGCTTTGAAGGGTGGGGGATAGAACTTGGGCATGAGGAAATAGAAGGAAATGACATATCAGCCAGAATGAGAAGATAGAGTAGAAATCGTGGTGTTTGACATCTCGAGTGAGTTTAGGGCAGTAGTGGTCTAAACAGAAGTAGTGGGAAATGATTGGGTTAAATGATGGAGGTATTTGGATGAAGATGTGGGTTTTATTTTGTAAGCAATGGAGAAGCCTGAATTTTTTTTAAAGTATTTCCCCACTTATTTATGATTTTATATATATATATATATATATATATATATATATATACACTGAGTGGCCAGATTATTATGATCTCTGAATGCATAATAATCTGGCCACTCAGTTTATATCCTATATAATAAAAGGCTAGTATGCAAATTGTCCCCTTGACCAGCAGGCAGGCTGGCAGGACCCCACCCATGCAAGAATTCATGCACTGGGCCTCCAAAATTATATATATATATATATATATATATATATATTCAGTGGTTTTCAAAGCATGGTTTCCACACCTGTAGCATTAGTGTCACCCGGGAATCTATAAGAAATGTACATTCTAGGGTCGTGCTCCATTTCAATTAAAATCTGAAACTCTAGGGTTGGGGTTTAACAACCCTCTGGTTGGTTCAGATGCGCACAAAAGTTTGAGAACCCCTGCTCCAAAACCTCACTACTCAAAGTGTAGGCCTTGGACAAGTAGAATCAGCACCACCCAGGAGCCTGTTAGCGATGCAGAATCTATAAAAACCCAGACCTACTGACCCGGAATCTGCACTTAACAAGATCACCAAGTGATTCCTATCCCTCCAATGAGTGTGAGAAGCACCGCTCTAAAGGATTTGCAAAGTACAGAAGCAGATAAAAAACCCCAACCCTACATAGTCACTCAGATATATTCTTCTTTAATATTCTGATGGAGTCCCTACGGGTTGCTTTCTATGCATCTATATTTGTACCAAGTCCTCTTTTAACAAACATGAGTGGTATGAGACGATATATACAATGTTCTACTCTTTATTACTTTACATTATATGTGATTAGTCTTTGAAAGCCTCATTTTCATGGCTTTATAATACTCATTTTATGTCTGTATCAGTGCACTTAACCATTTTCCAATTATTTGCTATTGAATAATATGATGATAAAAATAATAGATTTCTTCATAGTGCTTACTTTGTGCCAGGCACTGAGTTAAGCACTTTACATACAATAACTCATGCAATCTTAATAAATAGGCACTATAATTATCCCCATTTAAAATACATATATATTTTTATTGATTTCAGAGAGAGGAAGGGAGAGGGAGAGATAGAAGCAGCAATGTTAAGAAAATTATTCATCAGCTGCCTCCCTCACGCCCCCTAGTGGGCGATCAAGCCGGAAACCCAGGGTCCACACTCAACCACCTAGCCCCGTGGTTGGCAAACTGCAGCTGGCGAGCCACATGCGGCTCTTTGGCCCCTTGAGTGTGGCTTTTCCACAAAATATCACCGCCCTGGGTGAGTCTATTTTGAAGAAGTGGAGTTAGAAGAAGTTTAAGTTTAAAAAACTTGGCTCTCAAAAGGAATTTCAATCGTTGTACTGTTGATATTTGGCTCTGCTGACTAATGAGTTTGCCAGCCACTGATAGGCACACCCACCAGGCTATTATCCTCATTTCCAATACCAGCTCACCGAAACTTGCCCAAGGTCACACTGCTAATAAGTAGTGGAGCTGGGATTTAGATTTAAGCAATCTGCTTTCAGGATCTATACTCTTAATTATATTTTACTTAAGTTTGTGTCATAATTTATTTTTCCTTACAAGAAATCCTAATGTCAATTTCTAAAAATGTCTTGAAACGTATTGTCAGTTTCCCTTTCAGAAAGGTTGTAGTAATTTGTGCTTCCACCAGCAATGTACTAGTTTCACAATATCCTTGCCAACAAATGAGAGATAAACTTTAAAAAAAAAAATTTTTTTTCTAACCTAATAAATGAGAACTCTCCATTGAATGAATTGAGATTTCTTTAATTATAAGATTAGACATTTTTCATACATGTAATTGCCATTTATAGAGTACTGAGGGCCTTTTGACACAATCTTACTGTACTAAATGATACCTCATATGTTATAGGACCTTACTTCAACATCTTTAATCTACCTTAATCCTCGCCTTAGCCTCAGAGGAGGAAAATGATTCTCTACTCACACAATGGTTTCTGACCAGTGAGCTATCATAGTTCACTGGTTAAGAGGCTTTGGGCTCAGAGAGATGTGTGGGCTGGAATTCTGTCTTTGCTGCTTCCCGGGCAATCTACTCAACTTATGAAAATGTCAGATTTCTTCATTCATTAAATGGAGATATTACTTACTTCATAGAATTCTTGTGAAGAACACTGTGAGAGCTGAAGAGATGGTAAGTTTAATCTTTACTCATTAAATCCTGTCGTTATTGGATCCCATAAAAATGTTATGGCAGCTCTGGCTGGTGTTGCTCAGTTAGTTGGAGTGTCATCCATGTACCGAAGGGTCGTGGCTTAGATTCCCAGTCAGGGCATATACCTAGGTTCCAGGTTCTAATCCTGGTCGGGGCATGTATGGGAGGCAATTAATTGATCTCTCTCTCTCTCTCTCTCTCTCTCTCTCTCTCTCAAAAAAAAAATCATTTAAAAAATACAAACATATACTCTGGGTAAGGAGTCAAAAAAAATGTTATGGCAGACATATTTGCCAGCCCCTGGCCTTTTTTTACTTTAAGGTATTGTATCAGGTAGAAGAAAGGGAAGACACTGGGGGTTGGATGCTCTGAGTTTTTATTTTTAAAAAATATATATTTTATTGATTTTTCACAGAGAAGAGAGAGGGATAGAAAGTTAGAAACATCGATGAGAGAGAAACATCGATCAGCTGCCTCCTGCACGTCCCCCACTGGGGATGTGCCCGCAACCAAGGTACATGCCTTTGACCGGAATTGAATCTGGGGCCTTTCAGTCCACAGGCTGACGCTCTATCCACTGAGCCAAACCGGTTACGGCATATGAACTAAGTTTTTAATCATTAACTTCCTGCTCAGGTAGGAAGAGCTACTGATGGCAAATATTGGATGAAGATCTAAGTGTGGGATTTGGCTACTGTCCGAAATAAGACGTGGGTAATGACGATCATAACTGTTTAAAGGTGAGAAATACTGATGTACCAACTTGTTTTTTGATTTCCTGCTCTGTCCTGGCTTAATAGTACAGTAGCTTGTGCTTAGATTTTGGGTTTAAGGACAGGGCTGCAAGAGACATGTATCCCACGTGGTGCTCAACTGTGTATGAAGCAGAACTCCACATGAGAGCTTAGTACTAGCTTGGATGAAGGAGAGCTTGAGCGAGGAAGGGAGGGAATATTACGAGCAGCGGGATGCAGTGAGAGGAGACTTACTATACCCATCTGTCCCGCTCAGTCTAGAACTGTTTTGTTTACTTGTTTTTAGCATGTTTCTGTCTCTGTCTAAGCCACTCATTGGTACATTTGTGCTGGTTTCTCGGAAATTTTCTCCCTTCAAATGTAATTAAAGAGGTGCCAAAGAGAATTTCTCAAGTATCCTGTCATTAACTATTGACCATATGTAGAGTACTATTTTTGGAAGTGAGCAAAGATCCAAACGACAGACAATTTTGGGCATGGATGTAGGATTCAGAAACTCCGTGCTTCTGAAACTTTAACAGGCATGTGAATCCCAATCTTATTAAATGCAATTTCCTGATTCCATTCATGTAGGATGGGGCCCAAGGTTGTG